ACTAGTAGGTGTTTGATAGATATTTAGCTTCCTTCTCCTTCAATTTTCCCATAGCAATTAGGCTAAGAAGATACTAAAAACCTCATGGAGAACTGAAAATAAATCCCCTATACTCTGATCAATTTCGCTTTTTTAAAAATCTGAATCTTGGTGCCTGGTTGTTGTAGTAAAATATAGAAATGTTTAAAATGTTTAAAGAATGTCAGAAAAGTTTTAAGATGTTTGAGTTAACGTTCCTTAAAACTTAAAGTATGATATTAAGAACACATTCCCCACTGCCCTGAAGTGTGTCCCTCATAGATAAAGATTTGAACTTCAATAAACAACTCAGAGTGACTTGTCAAGATAAACACTTGGTGAGTGACTACTCTCCTTAGCCCCCTCGCCTTGTTTGAGATTAACATATGCGAATTGATGTAAATCATTGATAGCCACCTGAGCTGCTACAGGTACAAACAAGCTTTAAATATGGACCCAGGCCAGCTAACGATGCTCACCTGTCAAGACAGCTACAAAGGCCCGTCCCTTTGTCCGTCTGACAAGTGACGCTGCTCCACTCTCCTCTTCCTGTCAGATGACAGAAGAACGGCTAACAACCACCCCCCCCCCCCCCCAACCCCGATTGAGACTCGGCCGAGCTCTTGGGTGAGGAACGCCGACCCCCTGCACCCAGACCAGACCAGCCTAGCTGCTGGACCCCAGAGGACAGCACCACGGGGATCCCTAACTAAGTTTGTACCGCAGCTCAGGAATTTGTATGAGTAATAAAAAAAGCTGTGTGATTTGCAACTGCATATGTTTCGTGTGGTGTGATTCCTCCGGCAGTTAACTGAATTATTTTGCTTACGCTTAAAATTTAAATTAAAGCCTCTGGTCTTAGTTGGTCCTAAAGCCTGCTACTCTGGTCCTGCTTGCGTAAGAGCAGCCTCTTCGCTAGCAACTACTTGAATGTCCCACACCTGCACGGTTAAAGTTTATCTCAAGGGATGCCTTAACACCCCAGATCCTTTCCCGGGATCTCCTTGGGACATTGGTACAATTTAAAAATCTGGTGCAAGAACTCTGCGAAGGCAGGGGTTATCTTTGCAGCCCCAGTACAGCACCTGGCAAAACGGAAGAGCAAGGTAAAGGGGTTTAAACAGGTCTCCCCAAGATGTGCTACTTGGCATATGGATTTTGAACTGAAGGGAATTGAAAGCCTGCAGAAACTCCTGCCCCTTCCTTATCTTCCTGGGAGAATTTAAATTGGGAGCCTTGTCCACAATAAAAGTTAATACCAGAAATAATCTTTTTTTAAAAATACTTCTTTTATTGATTTCAGAGAGGAAGGGAGAGGGAGAGAGAGATAGAGACATCAATGATGAGAGAGAAACGTTGATTGGCTGCCTCCTGCACGCCCACCCTGGGGATCAAGCCCGAAACCCGGGCATGTGCCCTTGGCTGGAATCGAACCCAGGACCCTTCGGTCCGCAGGCTGACGCTCTAGCCACTGAGCCAAACTAGCTAGAGCCCAGAAATAATCTTGATGACCTATCCATAGAGCAGAGCAAACTTCTCATTACTGAACATCTGTTCTTCTTATTGTCCTGCAAATGACCTTCCTTCCTGCACCCCTCCCTTTAAGGCCCAAGGCATCTTACATTAGTCCTTGGCTTGGGATGTAATATAATCCCCATTTGACCTTTCTGTCTCTGAACCTCTCATGTGTGTGGGATCTCTGACTCTTTTACATATGTGGGGTTCCCATATGTACATATGTAATTAAATGTTGTTACTTTCTCTTTTTAATCTGTCTCGTGTTCATTTAATTATTAGGCCAGCTGAAAAAACCTAGAAGGGTAGAAGAAATTCTCTCCCTGCCCCACCTAGGCAAAAGCTTGTTTAATGAATGAATGAATGAATGAATGTTGGATTGAATGCAAGCAGGGCTGGTGCATGCGTCGAGTGTCTAAGAAGCACTAGAAGAGAGAGGTTAGAATTACCAGGGTGCAGGGGTTCTGCTGCCCAGTGTGAAGTCTGCAGGCCATGAAGAATTATTCTGCAGAATGACACTGAAAATCTGTTTAACAGCTTTGTGGAGCCTTTTTCCAGCAAAGCTCAAGGTGCTCTGTTAATATTTCTCCTCCACTCAGTCATGCTTTACTCAGAAAATAAGGTTAAAACACACACTGAGAACCAAATATGATTTATCTCTATGAGAGGAAGCATAAACAATTCTGTTATTTCATAATTTTTTTTTTTACTTAGCACAGTGGGTTGAGCCTAAAAATATCAAACTAAATAGATGGCTTTGTGACACAAATTTATGCTGTCAGAGAGTTTTTGAATGTAAAATTCTTAGCATTTCCTGGCCTTGGAGGGGAGCAGGGGTGATGAATGCATAACTACTGTTATTAAATCTTAAAGATATGTCTGGTGTTAAGTTCCCTCACAGGTATAAGTGTGTCAGAAAGGGTCTGAAAACCTATTACTCTTTTTTTTTTTTTAACAAAAACAATTCAACATCATTTATTGTCATCTGGTAGTAACATAAGGGTATTGTAAGCCAACATGAATAAATGTTTAAGAACAATTCTCCCAACAAAGGGCACCTAAAAAAACACAAACTGTATTGCTTCTCAATAATTTCTCTCTCCATTAGTCATTTCTAGGTGGAGACACTTTGGAGCAGAGAAGTATTACCTCCTTTCAGCATGATCCGACCTAGTTGTTTTCTCAATGAATCTCTTCTGCAGCATCTAATACGAGGTTCATACACTCATCAAAACCAATGAAACAGCCTCTGCCCGCATATTCACTTGTTCATAAAGCCACACCTGAATCCGAGATCTATTCTGCAAGTATCTGAAGATGAGGCTGATGGGCTGCACCATCACCTTCTGCACTTTTTGGCCCTGGCCATGGTACACCATGGTGGAAGCTGACAAAGACCACCCTAAGTCGATATCTGAAGATGAGGCTGATGGGCTGCACCATCACCTTGGGCACTTCTTGGCCCTGGCCGTGGTGGAAGCTGACAAAGACCACCCTAAGCCGCACGCTCCGTCAGAGAGCCACCTCTGGAGCAAAGAATTTTATATGCTCCTTCCAAAAAGCAAAGAGATTTCTACGCCACCCTGCTGCACTTGGAAAAAGTTTACTCTTAATGGTTAACAAAACAAGCGCTGGATTCTCTGAACTCACCAGACCTCCTGAGGGCTCCTCCCAGTTATAGTTCTGCCCTCCCCAAACGAAAGGTGTGGGATTTGCAGTGACCTGGCCTGTATCCTGTTCTACTGCCAATAAAGAGACATAGCTCTCTAGAAGCTTAAAGGTCCTGCCCTTCACCCCCACCCACTGCTTTACCTTCTTAGAAAGGAAAAATCCAATAATGTCAAACCCACCAGCAGGGCTGCAATGGGGACGTGAAAATCCCTTTAGCGAATAGCGGGTTGGTCAGCGTCACCCTCAACACCTATTTTTTAGTTGCCCTGAACAAGATCCCTCTGGCTTCACCCCCAGACTTCAAATCAATTCAGTCTTCAGGACGTTCAAACCCACAGGTGGGAGAAAAAAAAAAAAAAAGCTGGGTAAGAGATTTCATGTTGCCTGTTTGTGTGCTAAAGAACCCTCTCTGTTTGTTTTCATTGATTGCTTAGCTATTGCCCAAATGGCAGGGCTTATGGGCTTGGGGAAACGTAGCTCAAGTCAACTTCCTGGTGGTGAAGACGAACAGGGTGGAAATTGGCCTTTAGAGCAGTTTTGAAAATTTCTGACCCAAATGAGAAATTTCTAAACGAAAAAGTTTAAAATTTCTAAATGCAACAACAGGTAAGAGAAAACAGGCCCATAGGAACTAAGCGTTACTGGACCTTTTGAAACACACTGCCACGGCTGCGTGCGCTCGGGAGGCAGCGGGACCGGGAGGTGGTGGTTCAGATAGAGCAGAGCCCCGTGTCTGATCTGCTTCAAATATCTGGAGAAGACGATCAGATGCATAACTCACCCCACTTCCTAGGTCATCACCAAGCACATGGCGAGGCAAAGGATTTCATATACTCCTTCCAAAAAGGAAAGAGAAGAGATTTAGAGAGGAGCTGTCCAGGCCTTTCCAAGGGTTTTAGTCTTTGGAAATTCAGAGGGAGATTTCTACTCCATCCCGCTGAACTTGGCTCTAAACCCCAGGGAAGGAGTTTGGCACAAAGCGTTGTTCCCACTGCCCTGTCTTTAGCTGTATACAAAAGAAGGTAAGAACAGTGCCAAATGCCACCAGGGCCCGGCTCGGCGGTACTATGTAGCGCAGGAGAGCGTGCACTCTAGGAAAGCTGGTAGCTCAGGCTAACGACACCTGCTACATTCTGACGGTACCAGCCCTGGAGCTGCTCCCTGAGAAAGGACAGCTTTCCTGGAGTCAAAGGTCTAGGCCAGTGGTCGGCAAACTGCGGCTCGCGAGCCACATGCGGCTCTTTGGCCCCTTGAGTGTGGCTCTTCCACAAAACACCACGTGCGGGCGCGCACGTACAGTGCGATTCAAACTTCGTGGCCCATGCGCAGAAGTCGGTATATTAAACTATATTATAGTTTAAGTTTAAAAAATTTGGCTCTCAAAAGAAATTTCAATCGTTGTACTGTTGATATTTGGCTCTGTTGATTAATGAGTTTGCCAACCACTGGTCTAGGCTGGTGGACTGACAGGTTAGGAATGAAATCATAAAACATCCTATTTTTCAAAGCATGCTTTCTGCTGGGGGAGGAGAAATTGTGGTGAAAGAAAAGGTCCCCTCCTTTTATCCGCCACCCCCCCTCCGGCCCCGCACCTCTCTTACACAGTCACCCAGTCATAAGCACTCACACCATCAATCACACAGAACCATGAAGGCACCCGGAGTCACCAACTCAGTTGAAGTCAGAAAATTACAGTCTCCCACACAGTTCAGGACGGTCAGATACAATCTAACACGCTCCGTCCCACAGTGGTACCATGGCCATTCCTCTGAACACCCACCAACTCTTCTACCCACCTGGTTGCCAAAGACAGCTATGGAGCAGGCCGTGGAGACTTCATTCGCCCCGAACCAGACTGAAGCGATGCGGGAGGGCATGCCCAGGATGAAGACCTGGGCCACAGAGCAGATGACCTGGCCCAGCACCGTGACCGGGAAGAGATGTGGCTTCAGGCTCCCTAACTTCACCCAGGCCCCCAGACAGTTGAGAGCGGAGCCCATGAGGGCGATGTTGCGAAGGCCAAATTTTTCCAGCAGCCAGGCCACCGGCAGTAGCAGAGGGATGTAGGTCAGCATGTAGACCATGGACAGCCAGTCGATGGCAAAGGCACTGACCCCGTAAAAGTACGTGAAGATGTTATTGATGGAGCCGTACTGGATCCACTGGAAGGCGTTGCACATGGAGTAACAGCTGAACACCAGGACCACCGCCCAACGGCGCCTGCTCACCCTGATCGTACTGAGGTCCTCGCGGCCGGAGCTACTGGGTTGGGTCAAGTCACCGGGGTGGGCCAAGGTGCCGGGGAAGGCTGAGCCGCTGGGGTTGGCAGAGACGCTGGGGTGGAAGGAGACGCTGGGATGGGCCGAGACGCTGGGATGAGCCGAGACACTTGGATGGGCCGAGACACTAGGATGGGCCGAGACGCTGGGATGACCCGAGACGCTGGGATGAGCCGAGACGCTGGGATGAGCCGAGACGCTGGGATGAGTCGAGACGCTGGGGTCAGTGGGGATGGCAGGTGGGGCGGGAATGCTGGGGTCCGCCGGCGGCGCGGACTGCTGCTCAAGGGTGTCATCGCGCTCCTCCAGGTTGCGACCTTCATTCACCATGACCACGGCCTCCCCTGGAGCCCCGGACAGGCGCTGAGAGCTCCGGCAGTCTTACGGGGCAGTGGCCTCAGCTGGCGGGGCAGTGGCCCTGGTCCGCCCCAGAAGAAACGGAGGTCCAGTCCTGCGTAACAGCCGCGCGCGGGGCTCCCAGCGCTCACCTCCAAACTTCTGCCCCCACTTTTCCGGGGGGTGGGCCGCTGTCCTGACCGCTGTCCCCCCGGCCGGTGCCTGGAGTCCTCCTAAGGCGTCCTGGCCGCGTCCAGCGCCTCGGTCCAGGAGAGACTGAGCTCCTGGCGCAGCCAATTCCCGGACTCCGTTCGCTGCCGGC